TCTCTCTCTCTATATATATATATATATATATATATATATATTTGAAAACTACATAAAAATAAAAATAAGTAAATTACAATAATTAATAATTTTAAAATATTTTTTTAAAAAGCTATTTCATATGTCCAGCAATACTTGTCCACTATTGAATTTATACGCTTCTTAAGAAAGGTTAATTTTACTATATCACCATCTAAATATAATAAATAATGTAACAGAAAAATAATAGGAATAAATTAAAAACTAATTGTAAAATTATCTATTAATTTCATAAAATAGACAACTATTATTAAACCGGGAAAATATGAATAAAAAAAAAGTTATACTTCCCTAATTATAAATAAACACAAAAGGGATTCATCTAGAATACCCATAAAAAAAAAATTGAATCTCAAAATTCGAAACACATATCCCACAAAAGGAAAGGGAGTATTTGATGGGAGAGAGAGAAAAAATAAATAAAATAAAATAAAAGAAGATTGTGGAATGGGCATAGTCAGTGCCAGGGCCAGGGGTGAAGAACCTTGGGAGACATCCCCTAATTTTGTTTTTCCAAAAAACATCAACTTGTCCCCACCTTCATAACCCAAATACATTGAATCCATTACTTTCTCAACATATATATACATAGACCAACTTTTTTAATTAAATCAATACAAAAACTATTCTTCTCCCCAAAAATCAACCCAAACCATATCTTCAACAATCCCCAATTGAGAGATTCAATTACAATTTTGATTCAAAAGAAAAAAAGCCCTAAAAATGGATGTAAGAGAAAGATCAGAAGTTAAATTGAGATCACCATCAACAACAACAACAAAAGTGTTTATGAACAATCAGTATATGATGAATAATTCTAGAAGATCAGCAAATGGGAAAAAAGTGTTTTCAATTAGTTATTTCAGTTTGGAGTCATTTCTTCTGCTAATTTGTCTATCAGCATCATTGTTGCTATTGCCTTTGATTCTTCCACCATTACCACCACCACCATTTATGCTTCTATTACTTCCCATTTTTATTCTATCACTTCTTATGTTCTTGGCTTTTATGCCTTCTAATATCAAAAATGTTTCTTATAAATATGTATGATAAAATAATTCTGGGGCTAATTACTCTCTTTGGTTTCTTATTTGTTTACCTAACAAGCAAAATCTAGATTTCTTTATTTACATCTTTTGTTTTATCATAGTACTTTTGAGCAATGTAATCTCAGAGAAATTAAATGTGTATTACAGTAAATTTAGTTTTCTCTCTTTTATTTTGATCTCTATATTTGTAACATAGGCAAATCAACAACAAACATTGATGTTAAGCCGTTGTTTCGAATTTGAATTTTGAGTATATAAAGTTACTTTGCGATAGATGGACATTGAGAATTTGAGATTAGTCGAGGCTCCAATTCTATAATTGAGGACAAATCTGGATGCTTGATTGTAATTGATCTAGTGTATTTTTGTTCTTAACTCTAGATTATTTTTTATATATGTAAAATGTAAAATTAGTTGGAATAAAAAAGTTTTTTCTAATGAAAAGTTAATTAAGCATAAGAGTGGAAGTTAAATTAATTTTATTGCAATTTTTAAAAATTAACAATAAATATGTTATAATAAAAATAAAAGTAATGAAGATAATTGTAATAAATCGTAAACCATAAGAAATAATAATTTGATGAGATGTTACTAGCTTTAACTTGCACCATTTAATACAATTTATCTTTAAGACTCGATTTTTTTTTTTATCAGAGCACTCTCCGATTTGCAAATATTTTATGAGTCTTTAATATATACATTTTCTATTTTTTAAAGTTAAGAAAAAATCCAAGAAGACTTACTCCCTTTTCTTTTTTATATGCCATCTTTACTATAAATCTTTAGTTTATAATATTTGTCATTTCATAAAATTAATGTATAAATTACAATATTTTTTCTATTTTACCCTTGTGAGTTACTAACATTAAAATATATATTTTACCAAATATAGAAAAATTAAGTGAATAATTTATATTCATTAGTCAAATAAATTAATTCATATTCGAGTTACAAATTTTGTGAGGATATGGGACATGGAAAAACCAAATATTCAAACTTGTCCTAATTCAAAGGTAGAGAGAGTATAACTCATTTATTAATTTTTGCCAAGAGCAAGATACATTTTCTTATGAGAAAAGAAAGCGTTAGCAATGTTGCACCATTTATGCAACTCTACCTCAACCAGTTTGGGGTTAAAAACGACTTATTTATAAAAACAATATTTAAAAATGGCTTTTAGAAAAGTGCTTTTTGAAAGAAAACAATTTGTGTTTGGTTTATTTATTTGAAAAGTGTTTTTCATAAGCAAATTATGTTTGACTAATCTTTTTTAAAAAGTGTTTTTGAGAGTCAAATTACGAAAAGTGACAACTATTAATGTACTTTTAATATTAAGATTATTTTATAGGCAGAAACTATTTTAAATATCTATTATAAACAAGTTAATTAAACTTTTATTTTTAATAAATTAAAATGTACATATTTAAATTTTCTATCAATAATATACCTTTTTTAGAGGGTTGAAATCCTTAATTGTTATTTTTTTTCTAACCTTATAAAAATATTGTTATTATCTTTTTTCTTAGTTCTGTAAAATTATACGTAAAATAATATGTAATATATAAAATAATAAAATATAAACATAAAATAAAATATAAATTCATTATATAAAAATATAAAATAAATATATTGGTAAATATGTATATATGAAAGGGATGTTTTAGTCTTGAGAAAAAAATAATTTGTTTCTGCTTCTACCTTTTTTTTAAGAAGCAGAATTTTTTAGCTTCTTCCAACAACAAAGAAACTACTTCTACTTCTATTTAAAAGCATTTTTACTGATTTGTCAAATACGTAATATTTTAACAGAAGTGAAAAAATAAAGTTTCAAGCCTCCAAACAACATTGTCAAAACAGACTCTTAGCTAATACTGCACCATTTATGCACCTAACCAATTGGACTGGTTCCTTGGATCAATTGTCTCATCACCTCTAAGTATTTTATATGTATTTGTTTTATGCACAATTTTTCAATATAAAACTGTAAACAATACTTTCAACATAATTCACTTCTCCAAATCCCACACATTATGAGAGCTCTCAAGTAACCTTTTATTTTTCATCTTATTCAAGTAAAAACACATTTGTAACTAAATGTCTACTGTTTGATGAATTCCTTTTCTACATCCATGTCCATGTAATCGACTCTTCAAACAAGATCACCAAGGACAAGATGAAAAAAAAACAGCAGGGCACCAGCCAATATACAATGAACATTTGAGTTACTAGCCCTTCTGAATGTAGTTTACATAAAATCAACACATTTAAGTATGCATCTTTTCAGACTCCGCGCAGATATGTAAACTATAAGCCGACCTACTTGTTCAGTAAGAAAATTGATCAACCTTGGAGGTTTCTTCCTCACTTTCAACCCAACTATGTGTTATTATACTTGTGAAGGGAGATAGGGGGGGGGGGGGGGGAAAATTT